TTAAACGAAATTGGGTGAATACACCTCATATTACTGATTTACTGGTAGTCACGAAAACAATACTTAATTGACTAATTTTAGTTTGGTGCTGAGAATGGCAAGACTCACTGACGATGCCGGCAAAACATCTGGGAATATACTAAGTTCACGATCTAACGCTGGGAGTAATCATAACTCTTACAGCAGAGAACTTCGGAAGAGGTGCTGCCAATTAGGTCACCCTGACAACACGAACAAGCGGCAAAAACGAAGTCAGACCATTTATTCAAGATATTTTAAATTTAATAGTAAATTGTATAGGCAACTACTATGCTTAGCCAGTGAATCATATTTGACTCCTTTTTCAGCAAACAACTACAGTCCTTTATCGAAGGTTCGCCCGGTTCAAGAATCACTCCTGGCCACAAGGCCATTTAACCAGTGTATGCATAACTGAGATACGAAGAGAAGCTGAGTTTCATATAAAACAAAGGGTCGAATGACCATAAAATCACTATAGAACATAATACCCCTCTTCATTTTTCCGGGGATACATAGTCGTTATCTGCACACTTAAACTGATAAGCATGAACAATTTGGCCTTAGCCCTTTGATGAACTATGGCTAGATCTCGTCCGTCAGGCGTAAGATGACCGCGGAGTAGGTTGTCTTTCTAGGCGCCGCTTGGTTCATACAAAAATAAGCAGACTCAACCAGCATCCCTCTATTTTTAACTGCTAGCTGCATTCGGTATTTTATGGAGTGTGATTGGTAGCAGCCTTATTTCGCTGCTTTGGCTCATCTACATGCCTGCAGAATACCTCTTAAAAGTGGTGTCTTTGTGCGAATATGAAAGAGCCTCCATGCCTTCCTCACCAAGCAAGTGGCTGGCGTTCACGTAGGCAACTATTATTAAGCAAATGTGTAATGTAGGCCTGGACCTGTATGAACTTGTGATGCTGAGCGCCACTACTAGTCCAGTCGGTATAGGCATTGGCTTAATTATGCGTGTTTGTGTGTGCATGTGCATATTTTAATGTGGGCTCGCAAGAGAAAGGGGAATGGCTAGAGAATAAGCATTTTTAAGTATCCGGAATATTGAAAGAATATTCAAATTGAGTTGAGATAACTCTCTAGAAAACTTTTTGCTCACCTGCCAGCTGCTTTGAAATCCTTTTCTCTGTATCCAGCCAAAACTAAAATGTATAAAAATAAGATAAGGGAAAAAAAATTATTAAAAAAAATGTGTGAATATGTTCCTAAATTCTCATCACTTTTCAAATAATAAACTAATCACCGTATATCGCTTAAGGTGAGTTGGTGCATGAGTTTACTTTATATACACTGACAAAAGGTGTGACTATATCCGCTCCTCTACCTGAATCACTTTCACTCGCTTACACACATGTATGACAAGGATAAAGCAGTTATATGATATGTACTCACCCTAGTTCAGTTAAGGAGATGAAGGACTGATAGTTTAATCTTCACACAGTGCTATGAATAGAGCCGACTCTTCCATTAAATTTCACATAGACTTGTTATACCAAAAGGTGTTCTCCTCCACTCGGCCACACTGTCACGAGTGCCCTTAAGTCAGTCGGCAAATGAGAATTTTAAGGAAGAACAGGCACTTTACCGTGTCACATTCTCTGGTGGGATTGCCGATGAGACAACGTTATATTTACTATAAAAATCGACTACCCTACTGATATTCGTTTTCACATCTCATCTAACTTCTTTACTGGCAGTCTCGAAAACCTACTTATAAACGAAAATAAGGCTAAAGCGGCCAACCAAATCATGGGATGCCTCAAGAGGATCGCAAAGTGAGATGTAAGAAGAAAGTAGAATTTCAGCTGGCCACCTTTCTTGGTTTCGTATTTTTGGTGATTTTTGGTAAATAATGGTTTTATGGCTCCGACAATGTCCGTCACATGACGGACGAAAGCTCAGCACGGAGTCGTCGAAGTCGTAGGACGATGAGCCGATGACTTCTTCGCACACTTCAACAGACAAAAGTCCAATGCAACTCTCCTTCTGTAGCCGGTGAGGCCGATCTACGAATCTCTTCCACCCGCCTTCGCAAACAAAATGAAGGATATGTGGTGTCAATCGAACTGTGTGTCGTGGCGCCCCGGGGATCCGCGAAATATTGTAAAAGCTTTCGTTTGAGAAAATGTGCAGTCATTTGCAGGCTCATGCATCCCGTCATATTAATTTAATGTTAATAAAGTATTTAAAAAATAATGAAGATACACAAGTTTTATTTTTTTGTATCTCTTACTTACGAAGAGTCATACTTAGGGTAGGGTGCCATGGAAAAATTTTAATTGAAAAAGGCCGCCGCGACTAGGAAAAGTTTGGAAACCACTGAACTAAAGGATTCTTCGAATTCCAGCTTTTCTTCACATGTCTGAGAATTTACAAATTCCACGATCCAATGCTGTGCTCCTTCGAGTCTCTCTGGCAATACGACATAGCTGTTACGGCGAGGTAACACCACTCGTAAAAGAGAGAAGATCGTCTTTTTCGGCCACCCAACGATGTCTCAGCCACGGGCGATACAACACTTGCGATGTGTGATTCAGGACAGAGGCAGAGCTGTGTGATGAGTAAGAGAGAGAGGCTGTCAACTCGAGTCCGACTCACCCAAGTGCGAACCTTCTTGCTGATGTATGTCAGGCCGAAGTAGTCCGTCTCGACGAGGTCGAGGCCCTGACAGACGCGGGTGAACAACTCGTGTCCCGTGGCACGGCGGTCCACCTGTACCGACACCTCTTCACCGTCCAACAGAATGACACGAGCCGCCAGTCTGGCGCCGGCTCCTCGTGGCAGACTCATGCCTCGTTGTTGACTGATCCAGCCGCCGAAACGGTTGGTCGAGGCCCGACGACCCGTCTCGTCGGCCTCGAATCCGGCCAAATTCAGCTCCGGATTCGACTGCCAGTGCTGCTGTTGTTGGCGCTGTTGCGGCTGCTGGCCACTGGTTGCCGACGGCAACAATTGCGATTTACGCTGGCCCCCACGACGCAGCGAGGCGAACAACTTGGACAGGGCGCCGCCGCCTCTGCCCGCCTGCGGGAGCAGGTTCGTCTCGGCTCGAGCGCTGGCCTCCTGCTCCGACTTGAGCGCTCTCGCCATCGGTAGGTTCGTGTTCCAGTAGATCCGCTCCTCCGGCTCCTCCAGACCTCCGGACGCCAGCGCTCCAACAGACGGATTCGTCGCCGCAACTCCCCGCAACTGGCTGTCGTCGAGTCCGGCTTCCA